ATCATTTTCTTAGTTTCCATTGCATTGATTTCTGCTTTAATCTTTATAATTTCCTTTCTTGTTCGAGATTTGGGTTTTTCTAGCTCTTGTTTTTCTAGGAGTCTAAGAGTCATCATTAGCTTGTTTATTTGAGCTTGCTCTGTTTTCCTAATGTGGGCATTCAGTGCTATGAATTTTCCACGTAGAACTGCTTTCATTGTGTCCCATAGATTCCTGTATGTTGTATTGGCATTTTTGTTTATTTGTAAAAACTGTCTGATTTCTTCTTTGATTTCCTCTGTGATCAATTGATTGTTCAGGAGAGTGTTGTTCTATTTCCATGTGTTTTTGAAGTTCCTACAGTTTCTTATGCTATTGATCTCCAGCTTTATTGCACTGTGATCTGATAATATACAGGGAATAACAAATTATTTTGCATTTATTCAAATTTGTTTTGTGAGCTAGTATGTGATCTATCTTGGAGAATGACCCATGTGCAGCTGAAAAGAATGTATATTCTGATTTTGTGGGGTGGGACACTCTATAGACGTCTAATAAGTCCATACGTTCAAAAGCTTGGTTCAGTTCTAGTATTTCAGTGTTGATTTTTTCCTAGATGATCTGTGTATTTGTGATAGTGGGGTATTCATATCCCCCATTACAATTGTATTAGTGATTATTTGGTTTTTCATGTTACTTAATATTTGTTTTATATAGTTGGGGGCATTTATATTTGTTGCATATATGTTTATGATTGTCATCTCTTCCTCTTGAATTGCTCCCATTATAAGGTTGTAGTGGCCTTCTTTGTCTCTCTTAATCAGTTTTGGTTTGAAGTTTGCTTTGTCTGCGAATAAGATTGGTACCCCTGCTTTTTTCTGGGCTCCTGTGGCATGGAGAATTGTTTTCCATCCTTTCACTTTCAGTCTGTGGGCTTCTTTTTGCACTAGGTATGTTTCTTGTATACAACATATTGTTGGATTTTGCTTCTTAATCCATTCTGCCAGTCTATTTCTCTTGATTGGTGAATTGAGGCCATTGACATTGATAGTTATAACTGATATGTACTGACTTATTATTGTCATGTCATTGTCCTTTTGTTGACTATTTTTTGTCCTGTCCTTTTAGTTTCTTGCCTTGGCTATTTGATTTGCTCTGTTGGGCCTCCTGGTGTTGTGATCTTCGTTGTCTTTTTGTAGGATATTGTTTAAAATTCTCTGTAGTGCTGGTTTAGTATTCATGAAATTTCTCAAGTGTTCTTTGTCATGGAAGTATCTTATTTCTTCGTCCACTTTGAAAGACAGTTTTGCAGGATACATCAGTTTTGGTTGTAGGTTGTTTTCTTTTAGGACTTGAAATACCTCACTCCAGGCTCTCCTTGACCTGAGGGTTTGTGTTGAAAAGTCTGCTGTGATTCTGATGGGCTTTCCTTTACATGTGATTTGTTTTTTTTCTCTTACTGCTTGTAGTATGTTGTTCTTCTGTTGGGTTTCTGGGATCTTGATTATTATATGTCTAGGTTTAGATTTTTTTTGATTGTGGCTAGTTGGTGTACTATATGCCTCGCTTATCTGTATGTCTAATTCTTCCCCTCTGTTTGGGAAGTTTTCTGTCATTAATTCTTTGAACAGGTTTTTAAAGTCATTTGCATTTTCTGCTGGTACTTCATGGATACCTGTCAGTCTTATGTTATTCTTCTTTGCATCGTCTAGAAGTTGTTGGATCGATTTCTCATGCTCCCTTAGTGTTTTTAAGAGACCTCTTTGTTCATGGTCACCGTCTGCTATCCTATCTTCTATATCTGAGATTCTGTATTTGCAATCTTTTCTGTTTCATACGTTTTCAATAGAGTTTTTAATCTCCAGGATATGCGTTTGAATCTTTTTAATGGATTCCATTTCTTTCCTATGTTGGACATTCATTGTTTCCATTTCTTTCTTATGCTGGGCCTTCATGGCTCTTCTTATCTTCCTAAGCTCATCTATTTTTTTGTCAGTTTCTGGTCTGGAGTCTCGAATCATGTCTTTCATTTTGTTCACCATCTCTATGGTTATTGGGGAAATAATTTCTGTTTTGTATTTTTCTAGAGCTTGATTGATCAGTTTTTTTCCTTCCTGTGCTGTGAGTTCTGAGTGTCCTGGAGGTTCACTATCTGATTATTCATCCTCCTTTGTCCTACTGTTTTCCTTTGGTGGACTGGAAGTCTGTTTTTGTGGCTTGCTTAAGTGTTTTCTCATCTTTATTTTTGCTGTTGGGTTGCCCTTGATTCAATCTCTGGGTCATTAAATCTTCCTAATATTGTTTCGTCCCAGTCTTTGATTCTCTAATGACTTATAGACATTCTCATTTTCTTAATTGAGAAAACATTTCATCAAATCAATCCCTATCCTTTATCCCTATCGATACAATCAGAAACACAATAGGATCAATCACCACCCTTTATAGCCCACCATGCCTCTGGCAGCATGCATCCAACGACTGGCTCAATCAGGGGATCTAATAGCCAGGGTGGGGGTGGGGTGGAAAATGACTTATAGACATTCTCATTTTCTTAATTGAGAAAACATTTCATCAAATCAATCCCTATCCTTTATCCCTATCGATACAATCAGAAACACAATAGGATCAATCACCACCCTTTATAGCCCACCATGCCTCTGGCAGCATGCATCCAACGACTGGCTCAATCAGGGGATCTAATAGCCAGGGTGGGGGTGGGGTGGAAAATG